TTTTAGTACAGCACAGTTCCAGCAACTTCCTGAACAATTCTACCCATGAGTGCTCACAGATATAAGCTTTCCTTCTCCCACATCTATTTCAAAGTAGGACTAAATAATTTATTATTTGAAAGCTCAATCTACAACTACTAAAAAGAGCCATGTATATATGAAAGAACCAAATTGTGAATGGCCTTTGAAAGATCCTCATCATCTCTCTCAATAACTTTAAATTATGAACATTCCCAGAGGCCTCTTGCTGGCCATTTTAACTTTATAAAGTAAATTCTCAGGAAACGTCTATGACTGTACATTTAGAAGTATATATGTCTACTGATAGGACTTCACACATGTGGGTTACTGGTGCAAATGTACCACGGTTTGACCAGGAAACCAACAAGTTCCTAGAAGACATTAACACCCGTAGTTTTCAACATGCAGGTTGATGAACTTGGCATCCAGTCTATGGAAAAGAGAAAGAAGTGGCCACTGGAAAACTTACATCTTGGATCGCTATGCCTAGGGCTTAATCTCTCTTCTCTTTAATTCTGTGGTCATACTTTTTCAATTCTACCTGCTCTTTCTTTCTTTCTTTTTTTCATTTTTAGAGTGATCCTCTTTTAGCAAATCATCACTTTTAAATTTTAAAACAGTAATACAAACACCAGGCACAAAATTTAAAAGGAACGAAAGGGTATAGTATAAAATGTCTGTCTTCCTTCAATCCTGTTACTAAACATTCATTTCCCCTCTCTGGAGACCACTAATTAACTAATTTCTTGAGCACCATTTTTTTTTCATTCCACCACCAACTTTCTAAACCAGGTTCTCATTTCTTCATGCCTATCTTAATGTAACAGCTGACACCAGTTTGTCTTTTTCCAAGTCAAACTACCCTTCCTCTCCTCAAGTAGAAAAACTGCAAAAAATGCCTGGGTAAGACCTGATCTGGAATTTGATATTCATAAGACATATAAATGATATGAAAGAGAGGATGCCATTCCACAGTGGCGATGGGGAGCTTACCAAAGATCCTGGAACATAGTAATTCTCTGGAAATGTTCACTGGGGAATTATAATAAAATGATCAATGAAACAAGCATGTCATATTATAGGAATGAGAAAGAAAACTACTTCACTGCAACAGAGAGTTTAGAATAATGAAGAAACAAAAACTCATAGACACAGACAACAGTTTAGTAGTTACCAGAGGGTAAGGGGGAAGTAGGGTGGCAGATGAGGGTAAAAGGGGTCGAATATATGGTGATGGAAGGAGAACTGACTCTGGGTGGTGAATACACAGTGTGATATGTAGATGATGTATTACAGAATTGTACACTTGAAACCAATGTAACTTTACAATTAGTTGTTACCCCAATACACTTAAAAAAAGAAGTAACAAAAGATGGGAGGCCATAGTAATGACAATTGTTAATATCTATTGAATTAGCAATAAGTGTCAGATACTGTTTTAAGCTCTAAGCATTCTATTATCTTATTTATTTCTCAAAAGCCTTTATGAGCTATCACTTCAATTTCCTTTTTCTAGGTCTGGAAATAGAGTGTTGAGAAGATTTAGTAAATTTCCAAGGATACTCAGCTGATGTGTAGTCAAAAGTCACATCCAGGATCCAACTTCAGTTGTCAGGGACAAGAATGATTAGGATTAAGAAACCTGGAGCAGGGCCGGCTGAGTGGTGCGTTGGTTAAGAGCTGGCTTGGGATGCCAGAGGGCCTTGGTTCGGATCCCACATATGAGGGCCAGTGACACTGCCCTCTACAGCTAAGATGCTCAACAACAGCTCAATCTGGAGCTGGGCTGCTGTGAGTCCCTGGCGATGGCATAGGCTGCAGCCCTTGTGGCAGTGGGTTGCCATGGGCTACCGTGTGTAGCCAGCAGCCAGCGTGAGTGGCCAGCAGCCACCATGAGTGGCTGTCCAGAAGCCGGCGACTGATCTGCCTCTCCCGGGAAGAGCGCAATGATGGTGCCAACTTGGGCCAGTGAAGCAATGTCCTCCACAACTAGACTGAAGAACAAAAAGACAGCAACTTGTCTGTTCCCCTTCCCCCAATTCCCCAGCACTGTTCCCAACCCCCCAATTCCCCAATAAAAAACTTAAAAAAAAAAAAAAGAAACCTGGAGCATCCGGAATTTGTAAACTAGAATTTGGGAGACATCTCCTATATGTTCACATCAACCCAGGTGTTGATGAGGATCAAAAGGCTGCATAAAATGTGGCTCCTTTCCTGCAAAGAACTTGTGCACTGTATATTTTTAAACCTGATATGACATTGTTTCAAAGGTGACCTGAGCTCTCTTGGTTTCCCGGTTAGATTCTAACCTCCTGAAGACAGGAACAATGGCTGCTGCTCCCTTTGAAACTCCGTGCAGTGCACAGACCAGTATTTACTCTTGAACCTCTTCTATTTCTGAGTTGTCACTAGACCTAAATGTGACAGATATCCCAAGGGGTAAGCAATGGGAAGTAGAAAGCCCCTGACTTATTAGAACAGTGGTCAAAATAATGGGGAAATCAAGAAAACTACCCAAAGTGAATGTATATCTTTACCTTGCTTGCAGAGTGGAAAAGCAAATTATCCTGACTGATGTATTCCTTAAGCCCTAGTTCTTGAATAACATTTACCTATCACAAGTCATGAGCCAAGTGGCATAGGTAAAAATTAAGGTGTAATTCTCAACCACTGAGGATTTGCATTTTCTTCTTTACATTAAAAAATAATATATTAGAAATTTCTACCTATAAGTATCATATTCACTGAAGGGATTTATGAACTGAGAAAGAAGAATACATAATCATGAGATGACTTAAAAGTGAAGGACATTTTGTAAAGATCAGGAAACAAAAATATTTAATAAAATATAAAGACAATACCCATGGGCAGTGGGAATGGAACAAGAGAACATAAAAATATTGGTGTGGGCAATAAAAATGGCTGCTTAGTATAGGGAAATAGAACCACAGCTCACCTTAAGGCAGAGCTACCCAGTCAGTGTATCTTGGCATCAAAAAGGTTATAGATGTGCCATGGAATGTTGCTCCTCTCTGTCTTGGAGTGGCTAGGTGGGGAAGGGATGCCAGAGCCTTGGGAGGTGGTCTCCATCTGTGAGAAGCCTAACCAGGGGTTCCTCAGAGGGTAGTCTGAGCTGAGTTAGAGTTTGACAGTGTCCCCTACAATCCCTAAAGGAGGCTGGCAAAAACAGTGGCATTCACCACATGCTGAGTGGAACCAGGGAGGGCATTTACTTCAGTAGTCAGCTGACAGTCTGATGCTACTGGCTGCAAGCAAGAGACCCCTGGAGCTTCTGGGAGGACTGGTGTTGCAGGATGCATAGAATAAGGCATGCAGCCAGAGGGCAGCCAGTCAGAGTAGGGGTCCTGGAAGGCCAAGTAGGTTGTTCTAGCGGAGGAAGCTCAGAGAGGGAACTCCAAATCTTGGACTTTGAATATATGAGGCACTTCTGTGTATTTGTGGCTGATGTGCCCTTTTACAGGTGACCAATCTAGAAGAGGGGTGACTCTATTACATGGACTTTTTGAAGATTAGAGAGCTTCATCATCTTTTGAAATAATTGATATTAAAAAAAGTTCAAGTGGATTTAAAATTTATTCTCACTATCCTAGAATTTTCAACATTATATTTGTCAAAGAATTTAAAAGACGGGCTGGTGAAGTTTTAAAATATAGTTTCAACAATTGTAAAAAAATTAGGGTTTTATGTTTTTGTCACCTTCCTGTGCAAAGCTTCCCCATGATGGTAATTATCAAGAACGTAAATACAGTGTGCCATCATTTAAACAATTTGGATGAGAAAATGCGTGTCATTGTTTCAAGTATAAAACAAGATATAAATGAGTTTCGTTCATGCAATCTAGCTGAAATTTATCTTAAAAGTTTAAAAAAGATGTTATTTGGAAGTTTTAGACATTCAGTATTAATGCTGGGTATATTATCTTTATTATATTTATAGCACATAAAGACATGTTCTCCCCAAGCCCTTTATAGATATAGCCCTATCACTTCCAGGTTACTCCAGTGTGCTATTCTAATGCATTGTTTGTTTCTCGGTGGGCTGACATGAAAAATGTTGGGAAGTACTCCCTAAAACCACCTTTTACTACCAGAAACTATTAAGCCTTTCTTATTGCAGGCAAGTCAAATGAGGTGGTAAACAAGAAACTGTGCTGTGTGGAGGACCAGCTTGGCAAAAGCAAAACAATGAGGAAGTAAAGATTCTCCTAAAAACTAGAAGACTATTGGAACAAAGAGAGGGCTTAGTTTCTTTTTACACTGTTGAAAGCACATAGCTTAAATTTGCAGGGCTGAAAAGGAAGGATCAGGTGAAAATTAACCCTCACAAAATTAAAATAAATATTAAATATTTTATTTCTATCATTTAACATGTTGAATATAAAAAGTGATACAAGGTGAGCCCAAATGGCATGCCCAGAAAAGCCAGAAAGGACTTATGAGAGAAGCAAGGTATTCTGCCTGCCCAGCCACTGTCTATCCATCAGTCTGAAACTTTCATTCAGATCATCTTCTCAAATTATCCATAGGAGATTTATTCACATACTCAATAAGAAAAATATTTCTAATTATATCCAACCATTCTTAATATGAATGAGAATTATGCGGGGATGCAAGATTGCCAAGACTTTTTTTGCCAAACAATTCCTTTTGACTTAAGAAAGGAGAGGCAGCTGCATTGTTTCCATAACTATCCATATAAAAGAGCCCGAGGAATGAGGCTGACTCGTTCTTCTTTAAAAAGCTCCAAGGTAAGTGGGAACAGGACAGGACTTTTAAGAGGGACACTGGCCACAACGTCAAGTGTCGGCTGCTGCCGCTAGTTCTGGTACTGCTCCTTCTGACACTGCATTTTTTATACCCATGACTTTTGTTGCCTTCTGCTTACAATAGCAAATAATGCTACAATTGGGTTATTGTTTGGTTTTGGTTAACCAAGTGCTTTTCTCTTTTCTTTGACAGAACTGTGTTACTTCTAGGTTGCATCTTCTCATTTGCTAGCAAGGTAAGATTTGAACTAACCAGTTGCTGGAGGAGGACAAGGGAAGCTCTGGGATGGATTTGTGTCACTTAGCAACGTTTGGAAAAGTGCTTGACTCAGTAAATATCTTAACAACTGTACTTCAGGAAAGGTTCTGGAGAGGGGGAGAGGGAGGATCCACCTTTTAGAACAATGCACATGTCCTCACTGAGGACTCAAGCATTGGTGGCGTGACATTTTAGCAAGAGAACAGTTGGTAATAGACTATTAGTTTGTTTTTGTAGGAAAAACAATCTGCACTAAGATTCCGTTGCTAAAAATTTCAAATATGATAAAAATGTACCCTGCTATTAAAATTCATTTAGTAAACATACGTAACAAATAAGAAAGGAAGTACCTAGGAAAATGCTTTCTTTAAATGTCTTTATACTCTTTTCAAAAGTTACCCAGTGCTGAATGTTGTGTGAAACAAAGCACTGAAATTTTTGTTACGTATATATTAAAGGTATTAACCTGCCCTGCTACTACAGACTGCATTTCTCAAGAGAGAGACTGGTGGGTAGCTGATTAAAATGAGCTTCAAGTAATTTGATCATGTAATGGCTGCAGGAACTTCCTTTGCCAAACCTTTTGTTCTATTGATACCACTGGCAACCTGCAGATAATGTAGAATGGACTAGTCCAAGCCTACATTCGTTAGTAGGAACTTTGGGAAGGAAAGAGAGCCCTTCAATGTAGAAGAATGAGGATAACATTTGCTGTGGCTTTTATCCTCAATTAGTTTAACTGGGTTAAATTGATTAACTGGATTTAATATGCAAAGACATTATGTTAGAAGAATTCTACTAAGCAATCAATTCAAAAAAGGAAAACAAAAATATAATCCCCCTAAATCCACTGAATGTGAGCACTTCCAGCTGAATATCTAAAGAAGGAGATAAAGTTCTCTTACATCATATGGCAAGAAATGGAATGTTGTTACATTACAATAAATGACATTTTGTATCTAAATAACAGCCCAAACTATTTCAAATTGCTTTCTCAGTCATCATTTGAACCTTTTTTTCCAAGTATCTTCACTATATCTCATGGGCTGTGAATTAGGAAAGGCAGATATTGCGATCCCCGTTCTAAAGATGGAGGCATGAGGCTCAAAAAGATCCAGTGCCTTCCCCAAGGTCTCAGGCTCCTTCGCAGCATGCTGAGACTACAGCCCAGTTCCCTGATTAGAATGCCCGTCTTGAAGGGCAAAAGAAGAGAATGGATGCAAAGCCCCAAGTACAGTGTTGAATCCACAGAGACCTTTGATGCATTTGTATCCTGGTAATTATGTTTGTTGCAATAACTATAGCATGGTGTACAGTGGACCTGCCTGGTGGAATTTCCAACATGGCCTTTTAAATATCATCAACATAGAAATTTATGGATATACGTGGTAGTCCAGAATCTCTAATGTGAAATGTTTCATCTCTTTTAGGACCCCTGGGCTCAGCAGCCATGAGTGGGGACCAGGAAATGGCTGTTTTTGGGGAGGCTGCTCCTTACCTCCGGAAGTCTGAAAAGGAGCGCATTGAGGCCCAAAATAGGCCCTTTGATGCCAAGTCCTCAGTCTTTGTGGTAGAGCCCAAGGAATCTTTTGTCAAAGGGACTATCCAGAGCAGAGAGGCAGGGAAAGTGACCGTGAAGACGGAAGCGGGGGCGGTGAGTAGAGTCCCAGGAGCTGATATTTTATTGATTTTTTTTTGTTTGGTCACTCAATTGACATAAACAGTTTTCTTTCCTGTTTACCAGACGCTGACAGTGAAAGACGATCAGATTTACCCCATGAACCCTCCCAAATATGACAAGATCGAGGACATGGCCATGATGACTCACCTGCATGAGCCCGCTGTGCTGTACAACCTCAAAGAGCGTTACGCAGCCTGGATGATCTACGTGAGTGCCCCTCCCCCTTTCCCAAGGTGGTCTTATTCATCATCACCATGGATTCTGCTAGCCCATTGCTTCCACTGTTGGATACATGGGTCACAAGTAGTGACCCACTTTGCTTTCACTAGTAGTGTAACTAGTTAAAAGGTTCACTAATTCTGCTGTAAGGCACAACCCAACAGCTGGCACTTTGTCCTTTGTCTTCTCATCCAAAGCTGGTCAAGGTCATTGCCCACATCCTGGGTTTGCCACAGATCCCTTGAACAAACCTTGGAGCTGCTACTGCTTATGTCTCAAATACATGCCTACCTTTCAACCCCGCTCCCTTATTCCAGCAGCAGAATCATCCAAAAGGGAAAGATAAACTCATGTTGTAACACTTCAAAATAGTTTTTTAAAAGCCAAATTTCACTCATTTTTTGCTCCTCCAAAATAGCAGCATTTGTATCTATGTGTTCTGGTTCCTTGTAATGGAATGTATCTATGTGTTCTGGTTCCTTGTGATGAAAGCTTTCCAACTGCCCCAAGCAGAGTTACATGTTCTGCCCTATTGTTTCTGTCTCTGCAATAACATCGACCATGTTTTTCAACCTTCATTCGTTTAGGTGTCTGTCTCCTACACAGACTTGGAGTTCCTCAAGAAATATCGTCTCTTGTATACTTCATTCCTAATGCCTCGCAGAGCACTGGCAAGCACATAATACACACTCAGTATATATTTTCTAACTGAATTTATTATGTTACATTGACATTTTTGTGTAGTTTAGCTAGTGCTGACATTCAGAGGCACAACACCTATACTGGCATACCTGGTGTTCATTCTTATTCCATGTTTCCTGTCCTAGATCAGTTGTTAAAGATTTGACAATTCCCCTACCATAATCAAAATGTATTTGCATCATTTTGTGTCCTGTTTTTTAATAACCCAATAGTAGTTTGCAAATATTTCCCCAGTATTGCTGCATACTTTCATGTTTACCTATTTAAATGCCTATGTCATATTGTCTTAGGAAGATGTACCATAGTTCACCTAATCCTTCCTGTATTGTTGGGCTCTTGGGTTGTGGCCAAGTTTATGTTTTTATGAATTTGAACTATCTTAATGTTATAAAATAAATATGCCTATTTCCTAAAATGCAGTAAAAATGTCTCTTACTACACATACAAGAGAAAAAAGAAAAAAAACAAGCCTTTTGGAGCTCTTGCTATGTGAAAAATCACTGTGACTAATCCCAAGGGGAATAATAAGTTTAAATCATGGTCCCTTCCCTCAAAGATTTTGCTATCTCATTGTTGAAACTTCCAACTAGTTTTCATGCTGATGCCTTGAAGAAATGTAGAGTACTTACTTAAAGTGCTCCTTTTAGTTAAAATTCATTTAATAAGTGAACTGTATATATAATAGGAAAGGCCTTTAAGTAGTTATTCTTTCTTATTCCCTTGTATAGACCTATTCGGGCCTGTTCTGTGTCACCGTCAACCCCTACAAGTGGCTGCCGGTGTACAACCCCGAGGTGGTGGCTGCCTACCGAGGCAAAAAGCGCCAGGAGGCCCCGCCCCACATCTTCTCCATCTCTGACAACGCCTATCAGTTCATGCTGACTGGTGAGCTGAATGCTTTATATGTGCATCTTTTTAGAGCAGAACCATAGGAGAAATACACTCTAACCATCTCAACACACTCTTTGAGATGGTCCCTTCAGTTGAGGCTGGTGTATGTGTGAGGGAGATGTCCCAGGAAGGAGAGGGTGTAAAAGATGACTTGCAATCTCTATATTACATAATTGCTAATGATTTCTTAAACTTTTGAAAGTCAACAGAGGTTGGCCATAGTTAGATAATTTATTTTTGAATGGCTCAGAAACTAAATAAACTTAAGCAAAAATGTAAACAATATCCACATGTATGTGTATCACACACACACACACACACACACACACACACACACACCACAGTCTCTCTCATACACAATTATACATATAAACTGTGTTTCCATTACCAAGAGCCAAAAAAACAGAAGAGTAAAATTTGTCTCTGTGACTTTATCCTCAATATCAGAAATTGTGACCAATGAACAGTCCCTTTGTATTAAGGATGGCATAAATGCTATTGCCTTTTCCCAGGACCAACCTGAACACACTCCAGAATTTAAGGTGTATCTGGTATTAAAACAATTATACCATGAATCTTCTTCCTAGAATATTATCTCAACTAGACCAGTCTAAGGTACTATGCACCTTGAGGAAAGGGCTTAGAGAATTCCTCTTCAGGTAGAGTACAACATCCAAACAAACATTTACCTTTCTTTAAAAATATGACTAAGCCATGATAACTTCCAAATTTACCACCTTTACTATATTTACTCCTTCTCACATGCTAAATACATCTCCAGTGCCTATTTTCATTTACTTCTTGTACCTACAATAAATACATCACTAACTTATCATCTAAATCCAATGGAAGACCCAAGTCCACCTTTGACACTTATTTAGTCCTAGCATATAAAAAGTCTGGTGTTTCCTTGAAGTGTTCTGTTTCAATGGTTGCATGTATGGCGGTAGAGGGAGCCGTAAAGAGCAGGAGAAAAAGCTGCTGGAAAAGGTAACAGGTCTTGGGCCCATCAAGCCCTAAGGATTGCTGAAACATACTCAGCCTGAAAAACACTAAAGTCATCCCGTTTTACTTACTTACCATTTACAATTATGTAAGGAAACAATATTAAATGTCTATAACTTCTCTTTTGTAGACCGAGAGAATCAGTCAATCCTGATTACGTAAGTAGATTTCATGCTTTCTTTTCATGGCTGTGACAGCTGCCAGCTTTGGGACTTCATCTGACTCAGTTTCTCTTTGACAGTGGAGAATCTGGTGCAGGGAAGACTGTGAACACCAAGCGTGTCATCCAGTACTTTGCAACAATTGCTGTCACTGGAGAGAAGAAGAAGGAGGAAACTGGCAAAATGCAGGTGAGTCTGACGGCCAGAGTCAGAAACAAGACAGCCCGGGCTCTCAGGAAGTCTGGAGCCCCAGATGTGAGGACTGCTCTTGCCTTTGCAGGGGACTCTGGAAGATCAGATCATCAGCGCCAACCCCCTGCTGGAGGCCTTTGGCAATGCCAAGACCGTGAGGAATGACAACTCCTCGCGCTTTGTAAGTCTCCTAGACACTGTTACAGACACTGTTCACTGGTAAAAATGTATGGAATGTTTGTGAATACTTTTCCTGAATGTTTGTCATTCACATTACATTGCATCATGGTTCTTTCTTTTTCCTCTGAGTATATAATAACATAGATTCAAGTCCAGTCTAAAAATATATGTAACACTATAGCTGAGTTCTTTCTTATCTATTATTGCCTATCATTATTCACAATTTTAAAATCAAAGATATAATTCTTTAACTTACAAAATAAGAGTTACACGTTTTCCTCCCTGATACAAATATACTCTGAATTGATTTAACATTAAAGTATTAGCATTTCAAGTGTTTTGAGTTTCTCAAAAATTTGATAGGATTTAAAAACAAAGTAGTAATATTAGTTTTCTGTTCAAGGGTAAATTCATTAGAATCCACTTTGGCACTACAGGAAAACTGGCTTCTGCTGATATTGAAACATGTAAGTCCTGGGATATCTTTTACCATCATTTCTACTTCTTATGACCTATAAAATTGACCAAAGTGAAATTTGCTTCTCTCATGAATTTTTACATTTCCCCCCTCTGCTACTTGTTTCATTCCAGATCTGTTAGAGAAGTCTAGAGTTACTTTCCAGCTTAAGGCTGAAAGGAGCTATCATATTTTTTATCAGATCACCTCAAACAAGAAACCAGAACTAATTGGTAAGAAATGTCATAATTCCTTTCAGAATGACTACACTAGCACCTATCAATGTATGTATGATTCAACCTAGCACTCCATGACTGAATTTTGTCAATTTTATACATCATCTTGATTTTGAAAATACCTTTGTAACTGTTAAAATTTATGTGTGCTCATTATAAAAATTCAAATGAAAACTGAAAATAATACCTCCAAATTCTATCACTATGAAATAACCACCATGAACTCTTGGATGGATAACATCCTTGTCATTTTCTGTACATATATATTTACATACAGATGTATATCTAGGTCATAGTTACATGCTCTTCCATCATCTACTTTTTTCATTGAGCAATAATGTATCATGGCTTTCACCATTCTCAGCAAATATAACTCCACCTTATTGTTTCTAATGGTTGCATAACATTACACTCTAGAGATAAGCATAATTTACTTAACCATACCCTTTTAAGGTATTTAGGTGTTTTTCAATTTTGGATTTTAAATAGTAAACACTGTACTGACTATTGTTACAAATATAACTTTTCCCAATATGTGATTATCTTCTTTGGCATCACATAGTGCCATAGAATTTGTCTAGAAATCTCTTGTTTTAATTAAGAGGGTAATTCTGCTTA